TTCACAGCTTCATCCTGATACCAGCAGACTTGTTTATCATTGGAATGAAAAATCTAAATTGTTATGATGAAAATCATGCCGTTCAAAACAGAGTAGTTTTTATCTGGAAACTTAACTACTAACATCAGGTTTCTAGAGATTAATTGCAATGCGCCCCTAGAAATACTTTTCAAAGTCGAGTTAAATCGCAGTTTATAGCATAAAAAACATTCATACAGAGCCAAAGTAGCTGATCTCAAAAGAAAACCTGCGATTGCAACATCTTTATTTACTTTATTTTTTTCAAAAATTTATTTTCTGCAGGTTTTATATCGTGTGACAAATTCTGCTCACAAGAAGAATAATCTGGATTAATAAAAAAAAGTGGAAGCATTTTTAAAAAAAAAAAACATTGTTCAAAACTCAAAAAATTGAGAATTTACAAATATCTCGCCCTTAGAATGCGTCTCAGAATTTTTCCACTGGCGGTTTTTGGAATTATGTCTATGAACCGAACACCTCCCGCGAGCTGTTTGTACGGCGCCACTTTACTGGACACAAAACTTTTAAGTTCCCGCTCCGACATATTCTGTCCGGGCTTCAAAACGACAGCGGCCGAAGGAGCTTCGCCTAATTTTGGGTGGGGTAGTCCGAACACACAGCAGTCTTGAATGGAGGGATGGGTGAGAAGAATGCCCTCTAGCTCGGCAGGAGCCACTTGCTCGCCTTTGGTTTTGATGAGTTCCTTAATTCTGTCCGTGATTAGAAATTGAGAGTTCTCGTACTTCGCTATGTCTCCTAAAATATGTCATTCCCTAATTAAAATCCCTATATGAAATTCCCTATTTAACCAAATAGACTTTACTAAAAGTAACAACGAAAAAAATGCAAAAAAATGACTTTTTGGATATCAGTTTTGTATTTCAGCTTTTTTTTGAAGATCGATTAACCGCATCACTTTTAGAGGCTTTATTTCAAATTAGGGAAATTTTTTTTGCCAATATGCATTTAGAAAACCAACAATTTTATTGTGGAGAGTTGATTTGAATATAATTTTCTATAAAAATTTGATGAATTATCTGGAACGTGACACTATACCGCGGCTGAATAACACTTTTGATTTTTCCTCTTAAATGTAATGACATTTGAGCAGCTTGGACTTAAAAACTGAACAGGTATTCATGATAAACTATTTAATGGAACGTTATTGACCACGAATGAGATACCTGAGTGAAGCCACCCGTCTGCATCTATTGTGCTTCTAGTGGCCTCTTCGTTTTTGTAGTATCCCTTCATCACTTGGGGACCCCTCACACATATCTCCCCCTCACGCCCATTCTCAACCACACCCCCCGTCTCCAGATCCACCAACTTCACCTGAAACTGAATGGTTGTAATGTGGGATTTATGACCGTGACCTCTAAAAGAGAAAGTGCGAAAAAGAGGAGACAGAGTGAGAAAGGAGAGCAAGAATTAAAGATAATTTTTAGAACAGCCGTTAACTTTTGTTACTCCTAAGCTTTTAAGTAAGAGTTACTTGACGATATCTTTCATGTAAGTCGAGGAAGTTTTGTTCAGTGCAGTGTAAAGTGTAAGTATCGCTGATTTTACAGTGCAGTGTAAAGTGTAAGTATCGCTGATCGTCGAGCAGCGGGACTATTTTTCCAATTAACAACTAATGATTTTTACTACTAATTAGTTTAAAAGCGTTTTTGAATTTTTCCATCATTTAAGCTCACCTTTTCAATCTAAGCATGCTAGGAGCCTTTCAATCAGAAATTTTTTGCCAATTGCACTCCTTTTACGAACAACCGGTCATCTCTAATTAATCTTTTATTTTCCTATCTCGAGCAGCAAAAAAACGCTGTCATTGAAAAATTGTTAAAAAGGAGTCTTAAATTGTTAAAAAGAGCAAGTACAGATTATTGTTCGATATTCTCTGTGTTACGTAATATTAAGCCATTTAAATCTTATGTAGGACTAGCAGAGCTGATCAGTGGAACCTCAGTCATCGGCAGAAC